TCTTCGCGCGGGATCAAGGCCAGGATTTTTCGTAAATATTTCGTAATTTTCCGAGCGTCACGACGAATGGCCTCGCATCTCTCATCTTTTGTGAACCGTTGCTGCACGCGAACGAGCCGGGCGAGACGTCACGCGGCGTTCTCTCGGGATGAGACGGATTTTCTTCTTTTAAAATCATTTAGGTCGCGGCTCGACAGCGATGTACTCATGCTGACGAGATATCGAGTTCAAACGACCCTTGAGCTCAAACGTTCGTCGATCTACCCCGACGAGTGTACACGAGGCAGACAGGCGAAACAAAAAGTGGTTTTCAAATCACGAATCGGCTTTATGCCACACCCGATCGAGTTTGAAATTTAATCAGCGCACGAGAAATACCAGATCCACGCGCGGCTGTTGTTTTGCATTTAAATCGAACCTTAATTCAAAGAACGTTATTACATTCCGTGTAACTCGCGTTATGCGCGCCGTACGGCTACGAAATATATTATTTTTCACGGGAAATCAAAAACTTGGAACCGTAACGATTCGTTGGTAACTCCCGTACGCGAGAAATTAAACCGACGAGGAACACTGTTCGTATTAGATTTTTTCAATGACACGGAAGATCGTTCCCGAAGAGATCGGTCGAACTTTATTTCCGCGTCTTTCTAATTTTAAGGGTGAAGGAACATTGTAGGAACACAGTTTCTTTAATTCTTCAATTCCTCGTCGAAGTATTTTAAAATAGCATGTCGAGAGAAATATTCAGTGACGTCTTTGAGAAAAATATAACGCTTGTACGATCGACGTAACTCTGGATCTAATTTGAAGAACATTAATCTTTACCGATGATATAATCTTATTATATCGCTTAAAGGAACCGGTTTTATCGCATTCGTTATACGAAAACTCATTTTAAATCACAGAGAACCTAAGAATAAACGTGCTCGAACATGGTGAAAATAGAAAGGAAACGTTTTACAGTGACAGGTTAAATAAACGATCTGACATATCGTAAAAGATTCTAGAACAAAAATTTGTACGTTCTTCTAAAGAAACATGAACAAACTTATTGCTTAATCTGATCAAAAAGATACTCTATTATAATAGAATAATCACTAAAATGATTCTCCTCTAAAACTAGTTGAATTTTTCAGGTGGTAAGAGAAGTTTAAACAGAGCTTACGAGAATATTTACAAACTTTCATGCCATGTATTTTCACTTTGATAATAAACCAAAAGCGCGTGAACCGTATGCTTAAATATTTTAGAAGGAACGAACTTATTGCTTAATCTGATCAAAAAGATATTTTGAATAATAGAATAATCACTAAAATGATTCTCCTCTAAAACTAGGTGAATTTTTCAGGTGGTAAGAGAAGTTTAAACAGAGCTTTCAAGAATATTTACAAACTTTCATGCCATGTATTTTCACTTTGATAATAAACCGAAAACGCGTGTACCGTATGCTTAAATATTTTAGAAGCTTCCGTGGATTGCAGTATTAATTATTACGGATGTAACGTTATCCAGACCCGAATGGCGCTTCTTTAAGTAACGTCAAATTCGCGAAGAGGACGGTAGTATGTTAAGTAGGAGGCACGGTGGCTGTGCTTTGCGGGGTAGACGAAGGCAATTAATTTGAAAAATTAAGCACGGTTATATCTCACGCCGCATCGCAATTAGAGGAGGGTACGTATAATATCATACGTCGCGCGGCACGGTCGTTTTAAGGTCAGAAATTTTACGTGTAGACTCCTTCTTTTTTTTTTACTCTTAAGTATCGATCCTATCTTCTCGCTGGGCTGTAAACTCCGCTATTCCGCGAGACGTGTGCTTACTTTTCGGCTCTCGGTTTCCAAGTTCATTGATCGAGATAGAGGAGATTTTGAACGGTGCCAAGATGGAAATGGAACTACGAGATGGAAGTAATCTGGAAAAGGTTTGGATCAGAAACGCGGCGAAGGGAAAAGATCGAGACGCGATCATCCGTCGCGACAAACTTCCCTCTAATCACTTTACACGCGAAAGTAACGCGCAATTAACGAACTACGCTTTCAGTAGGTTTAATCGTACGACGAATAAACATCGGTTTAATATTAACTTCTGAGAAATATTTATTATTTCTCGTTCACTCTCGTTGTACCGTTGTTAAATGTTTCAATCGTTAATCTCTTTTTACCTATACGTTTAGCGTCGCGTAAACTAAACGTAGGTATCAATTAGCGTCGATGGTTTAATACTTTAGACAGAGTAGCACGAATCGAAGCGTTGTATCGTTCAAAAACAATATTATTTAACGAATATTGAACCTGTCGGTGAAATGATCTCTTAGGATGAGTTTCGATTAATATTTGTTACGAGATTCGAAATATTTAATAGTTTGTTTAATAACAATTTTGTCACTTGTCACTTTTTTTCGAATTAGTTTTGTTCTACGAGTGAACACAGATTTATTTTAAATAGAAATAAATTAATAGGAGTACTAAAACAACTATTACGAATAAAAATTCCATGTTTTCAAACATTTCTATCCGCACTCACATACTGCTAATTTGAAGAAATAGTTTGTACGTGTGGTCACATTTTCCACGTATGTATTAGGGTAATATGAACATCTGCGTGGAGAATATGGGCAGTATGGTTCTAATTGTATTTCATCGAAAACATAATATGAAATAAACTTTACCGAAATTATTTCTTTACTGTCTATCCATACATTTGCTTACTATACATATTTTACTATCACAGTTGAAACAAATATAAAGAGGATCGTCGCATTCAACGCAGACACTATGGAACCCAAACACTGTAACACGTCTAACTCAGTTGTCACCCACATTATAAAAAGACTAGGTACATGCTCTGCGCGGCATAACAAAAATTACATTCGCTAACCAAAAATTACACGCATTGCAAAAACATGACGCACGCTATGCATACCGCAAAATACCATATGCACCACACGTACCACAAAAATGTCACTAAAATACACGTCTATCGACACTAGGATCACTCTATACACCACGCATTATATTATAATAATAATTTTAACGAAAATTAATTTAGTACGGTTCGAAGAAGGCCACACGGTACATTATTAATTCGTTCTCACCGTTTCTATTTCTCGAAATTGCAAGATTAATTATTTTTATTTGAAGGTTTTAGTAATTTGCAGAATAATAATAAACTGAAGGCAATCGTTCAATGAATGTATATAATCTTCTTAAGTATTGTTCTCGAATGTTTACAAACGTACAAAAAAGGCACGAACAAAAACTTCGCTAAAGTTATTACTTAAGGAGTTATTTCTGTTAGACCACTTCATATAATTGAAATAAAAATATTTCTCAAAGCGACGGCTTTTGACGTAATTAGTTTAACACTTTCTTATTGGCAGCGACGAGTTGGATCGATTAATGTATTCGTAAATATATGAAAAACGAATTTAACCTTCATGCAGCTTTTACGCGTTCATTGATAAAAAAAAAGTAATAACGTCAAGTGAACAACACAGAAATACAATATGTGCTCATGAATTTCCGACATGAATCATTGGCGTTGATAATGGAATTCATTATTTTGAAAATACCATATTTATTGTGTGCAAGAATTATCGGAGCAAAAATAATTAATTCCAACTTAGAAATAGTTAAGTTAATAAATTCTAATAAAAAAATATAACAAAATATACAACGTGGCGATTATTCGCTGTTATAGAATTGTTCACAGTTATAAAGAACAAAAACGGGGACAAAGAAATTCTCTATTCGTAACATTCAAAGCATTTGAACAATAGTATCCATACCCCTTCTACCCCACAGTGGCCATATTACCCCGAATTCCCTCACTGAAAATTTTTTCGTTTAATTCTAAGGCAAATGAGCGAGTGGAATATTTCCATTCGTCGTTTCACTAGTTCCGAATTGTTAGATTTGTTTTACGGGAAAAATAGTATATTCGTTGTTATTTTTAGAAGCAACGATTTACCATCTTGCTATAATAATTTCTGATCGTTTAAGAGTACCTACATGAAATTTCTACGAAAGCTATCATCCCATTGTCATTTTCCATCTAAAATCGATACGTACGTTAGTTTTATTAACGTTTTACTTTGAACTTCACTCTTAGGAATTATTGCAACTCATAACGGTCTTTGTGCTTCCGGGAAACGGTCAGTTTCAATTATCACGACGCAGAAAACAATTTACAAAGCGCCGGGACCGTCTCGAGCGACGTTTAGATTTTCCGAGGTATCGCAAATACATTTAACCTCGATACTTTCGCGGAGAAAGATATGCAGGGAAACGCTTTTCGCGCGTGGATCGTTTAAAAAATTCAACCAGAAATCTCCGCTTCCTCCACGGAGTGCTTCGCTTATCGTTCAAGGTAAACGTTAAAGATTTCATGAAAATTTCACGAGCCAGAGAGTCACCGTTGGAAGTCTGGAAATACACAATGAACGCGTACGCGCGTCCATGTGACCCCGAAGTTCCCGATTGTGAACGGAGGAAAAAAAGTGGCGGATCCAGAGAGCCGCAAAGATGCATCCGAAGGCATCCTCCGGTTCTCTGATAAAACCCAGCCTGGCAACCCTCGTCGGGCGCTCTTACCGACCGACTCGCGCACGAATAGAAGAATATTCACCACGAGGTCACGTTGCACTCCCTTTTCCATCCGTGGCCGTTACAATGTATGCGCATTTACGTACGTGCGCGTGTCGCGTCGCGTCCGTAATCACCCCATTTCACGGTTAATCAGCCGAGAGGCCGGAAGAACGGGGGGAAGGCCAGGAAAAGGAGGGAAGAAACCCGAGGTAGGGAGAAAGAGGGCTAACCGCCGGAGAAAGAGACGAAATGACGTAAAAAGACACAGAAAAAGAGGCCATCGATGGAAAAAGGGGCAGGAAACTGAACTAGATAGAGAACGGTGGTAAAAGGACCTGTCGTGGTCGCACAGTGATCGTCCAAGCGTATCCGAGTAACGCGGTTGAGTACAGGGATAATACCATACCGCACCTGATCAATTAAGCTGGTAATCACGGCGAAATCACTGATCCAGGGTACCGGCACGCGTTTTCACCCCTTTCACGCCGATTATCTCGTGCACAGTCCGTCGTCGTTCGATCCTGCGTTCCCCTTCGTGAACAGCGCTGGCAACATTTTCTTCCGCTTCGTTTTCGCGACGGATTGATATATAAACAGGTGAAGCCTGTCCCGAGAGAACCATCCGCCGGGAGGAAGGATGACCAACACCGGGTCGCGACGATCCTTCGACCCTCGCGAGTCTCGCTCCTCGCACGACTGACTGAAGCCTCGAATCGAGGCTTGCTTGCACATCCCTCCCGCAACGGGGGACTTCACCCCTAAGTGGCGCCACGAGCTTGCAAAAGCTCGCCCCTCCGAGCGTTCTCTACCCCCACCATCGAACGCTGCTCTTATCTACGGGGTGGCGCGCGCGGTTAAGCTCTGGCATTTCGGGATCTCGTCCAGCCACGGTTGGATTCGGTTGCTGGTCGGGGCTGGCGGTTTTAATTTTGCTCGCGGCCGGGGCACGCGTTCGTGGAATCTTCATTTCAACGCCGACCGAGAGGGGAGGCACACTTTTCCCCGTCGTGTTCCCCCGAACCGTTCGTTAATTAATTTTCAAAACAATCAGGCAGGTTTCGGTATTGGTTTCGTGTTTTGCAAGAAACCCGATCGCCTTTTAACGTTACGATTCTTCGAGAAACCACCCTGGACTCGACGTTTCCGCCGTATTTTCTGTTTATCATACTCCGGGGCTCGGTGTTGTTCGAATCGTTTTGAATAAATATCTAGCGGGATATTTCATTCGCGGGATAAATATTTATGTGTTATCCGTGACTGATTTAGTTTCTGTTTATTCGAATAAATGATAGCGATAATGTATTGTACGGATAACCCCACTTGAGTATACGTATAATACAGTACAGAAAAATACAAATAGTACGATTTATAATAAGGCTAACAAGTTTTTCTAAATCGGCTCGGTGAATTTAGACTGGAATTTACATATTTAGAAATACAAATATAAAAAGATCTCCGAGGTACATAGAAGTTTGGTCACTCTAAGAGAGACTTGCATCTTATATCTCCTCTGATAAATAATGATGATTTATTCGAATAATTTTTCAACCACCGCGTGGATTATTAGCGACTCAGATTCAACTTTATAGTTTGTATTGTAATAGGTTTTCAATTGCTACGCTGCCTTCCAGGATGTCTTCTAAAGGGACTTTTATGTTGTATTAGTATGTCCTGTTTTTTTTTTTTTAATGTATTATGATATATTCCACTGTCAATGGCATATGAGATATGGGTGGATAAGCTTTGTGTGGCCCAGTATAATCCATGAGATCACGACTTGATCATGTCCTGGAAAGATGTGGGTTATGAAAACCCACTTTTTTTTTAAATTATCTTTTATCGTAGACAGTCGTGAAGAAGAGGAATTTCTATTTATAAACTCAATTTTCTTTCATTCTCTTGTTCGAATCATGCAAAAAGGCTTCCAATGGCAGATTGTTATTAACCTGGTTGGGGAATTTTCATTAATTCTTGAAATAATAATACGAATAATTATTTATTTTCGCTAACTTAGTAGCATTAACGTGTTTTCGTATTTGTCTCTATGGAAATATACTAACACAATAGGCACTGCGTGTTTACTTTTGGACTACATACATATGTATGTCTCTCTATATCATTAGTTTGTTTAGATATACGCAGTTAGTCGGTCCGTGTTGTGATAGTAGCGGGTATAAATACAACTTAAACACCGTAGAACGTCAATTATCCGAATTAATAGGGAAAGTTGCGATAATCGGTCTAAGAAAATTAAAATTGTATCAGGAAATAAAATAATTTTGAAATATGTATGTTTACTGTATGAAAGAACACATAACATAACAGTAAACGTAATATAAAAGGTAAATAATTCTTGGATTTAGTTAAGTTTTGTATTTCTTGTAAAATATGGATTTGAAAAGAATCTATTTCTTTTCAAATGTTTATTCGACCTAATTGGGCATTCGTTAATTTTACATTCTTCTGAGTTAGTTGTTGCCTGAACCACTAATTTTGTTTTTAAATTCTAATAGTTTCGATTGACAATTTACAATTTCCATAATTATGGACTTCCCAATAATATACATATACATATGGCTAAACTAGAAACTGCCTCCAAACTTTCTTCTTCATTCATTACACACAATATAACCGAAATGTATAATTTTAATTACGTGTATATGTTCAATATTTGCAAAAAAAGTACAGATTTAAACACATTCTCACTTTGGCAATCAGAACTATAAATAAATTTGTATTTGAATAAATTTATAGATAAATATTTATTTGAATAATTTTTTATCCAAACAATTTCTTACTCGAATACTTCTTATTAAGCCAACTCTGCTTACATTACGTTTATCATATTTTAAAGCCATTGTTTGTTATTTAATATTCGATGAGTCGAACTGGGGGTGGTTTACATATGTTTTGCGTTTTACCAATACCTTAGATTTGTAACTCTTTTTACTTTTGTAATTCTTTTTAGCTTTCATTTTACGACGTTTGAAAAAAAGTACCGTTCCTTTGCTCTTTTTTATTTTATTTACGTTTGTTACATTTTCGAACAATAGTGCGTTAATTAACTTTTAAGAGATTCGAACAATGTGTTGTTTCAGTCTGACTTTTAATGAAAAATCTGAATTTTACGTTATCAATTCTTCTTATATTGTGCATTCTATATAATACTTTACATTTATTATATTTTAAAACGATAATTTGTTACTTTACTTTCAACAGAATCAAGATTAAGATAATTTCGGCTTTCTGGGAGTTAAAAAAACTATATATTACCTAAGTAAAAAAAAACCATAAAAAACATAATGTTGATAGTTGAACCGTTTCTGAGGTATACACATTTTGATATATTAGTACAGTGTTTATTTTGAATATTTTCATTTAATTCCCATATACATATAGCTCCCTCGACCCTCTAATTTTAATCCTTTAAACACTTTTTGTAGGGATATTTGAAAAACATAGTGTATTCGCCGATAAATGACTTAAAAAAATTATGCGACTGAATCCAGCATGCCCGTCAAATAATTCGACAGGGTCGTGAAATTTTCGAGATAGTTCGCGACTTTGTAAGAAGAAGATATCAAGCATGTATGGAAATGGAAGTAGGACATGTGGAACACCTTCTGTAAAAGCCAGCAAGCGAATCATGCTAACATACAAAATGATTTATATTTCAGAAACGATTGAACTTTTGACCTATGTTTACTAAGGTTTATTTGCTCGATATAGTATGTACTATCTATTCTATAAATATGAAATGATTTTTTTTACACCCTGTGTAAACAAAAATTCATGGAAAATTTTTCACTGTACAAAATAGGAATGTATATTATGATTCTTTTATTTTGTTGAATGTAGCCGAAAATACGTGGGTAGTCATATTGATTTTATTTTTTATTTGTACATCGAACTGGCTGTATCACTGGGAAAGTTCCGAATTTCCTTTGAAAAATATGTTTTTAATGCTTGACAGTGCAGAAGAAGTTTATGACAAAAATCGTGTTTTTTTTAACGTACAAAAAGTGTGCCCACTCGATCCTTTGATCCTTCGAAAAAACACAGTGTATACTATTTTTCTTTTATCTTCTGTTTAATATTTAACGTTTGATAAATTGTTGAAATAAAAATTTCTTTAAAGTGCCGAAATAATCGTCGACTTATTTCAGTTTTGCTTTTTAAAAGAAGCTAAATCGCTCGATAAATTTTCTATCCTTAGAAAAAGCAATCAGCTTGATGTCTCTATCGTGTCTTCTATACTTTGTATTCGTTGCATTTTCTAACAAGAATTTTCAAATAAAATTATATTATTTTCGATATTTGCCGAATGGATCAGTTTTGCTCAACTTTGTGTATTCATTCCGTTTATTATACAACTTAGTTGATACAATTCTGGCACAACTTTCTTTCAGAAACTGAACGTTTGCTTAATCTGACAATCGTACAAAAAATAATTTATTGCCATTACAAATTCTTTTTCTGCCCCAATTGTTGAACCGTGCGTGAATTCAATCGTGTAGCCATAGCGATAAAATTAAGATGCTTTCGGTATGTACGACGAAGGGAAGATTTCAATTTTTTTATTATTCGCCTCACATATGCGCGATAAAGTTCGACCGATAATCAAACTGCGCATGGTTCATGTGCGGCTCTTTTTATTTTTCGTCTCCCTGTTTCATTCATTCGCCTCCTTCGACGTGTTCCTTTCTCTCGTCTCTTTCTTCCAGGAGCAACCACCTGTAACCCCCCCGGAGACAGACGTTCGTTTCAAACACCCTCCCTTTCTATCTTTCCTCAACCACCCCTTAAACTTAGCCTTGGCGGCCTTTTTCGCTCTTCATCTGATCGACTCGATCGCCAATCGTGCTAGACGATCCGTCAAAGAACGACGCAACGAAAGCTTACACTTTATCACTGCGATCGTCAAATCCACCGATCGTACTGAGGGGTTGCGTGTTAGGATAAAATTAGGTTTTAAATAAATCGCCGTAGTTCGCCTTGTGTTCTTTATTGTCAGTGTTGTCCACTCCAAGTCGTGGCGAAGACTGACTTCTACATTTTCCTTTTTTTCCTTCGAACTGTTTGCAGCCACCTAATTGGTTGAACCGATATGTCGAAGTTAACCAATTAGGCATTTTGCAATTCGGAAGTCGCCGCCTACTCCTTGCGCCCTTGACGCGCTTTTTGAGGAAGGCGACGCGACTCGGTGGGGGGTACCTCTGTCGACGGAAGTTTGGCAATGCAGCGGAATTTCCGACAGGTCTAGGCCTGGTGATGTCACCCGCCGAGAGTCGCTTGACTCGGCCTTGCAGCCCTTCGGAAATCCATGGTTTATGACATGTGCAATATGCCACTGAGGCCATTCGAGACTTTCGACGAAAAACATGCCGAGTAATAAAACGCTTAAGAAACGGCTTTCCCAAAAGTGGCCTTTTCGACTTTGCTTGTCGTAAACCATTTGCACACCAGATGTTTCTTTTGTTGCGCGAGCTA